AATTCTTCACGGGACGGGTTCGGGACGGGGCATCTCCGTCCCGCCCCGCGACCCGCGACGGGGCGGCGAACCTCGCCCCGCCCCACCCCACCAACCCGTTCGGGGCGGGGCCCCACGGGGGGGGGACCGGGCGGGGCGGGGAAAATTGCCATCTCTAAACATCCCTTTATCTATTTTCCTTTTTCTAATTTATTATAGTTTTGCAGTTTCTATTTTTAGACCAGTGGGTCCTTTTCCATGAATATCAAATTCCATATTTGCCCTTGGTTTTTTTTAAACCTCCTAATGGAAAAGGGGGAATGAAAAAAATGAAAAATCTTTCTAACTACCCACTTATTTTTATTTCTTGTAGTCTGATGGGCATATGAAAAAAGTCTAGAATGTGAAAACTGTCAATGAATTTGTTAAGATTTTGGGGTGATTTTAACGTACTTATTAGAGTGAGACCTTTTTAATTGAGCACTTCCTCATTTATGAAATTTTTTCACGCATTAGACGTCTTGTGGAAAATGAATTAATAAATTTACAAGTGAAGATTTGTTTAAAAAAATTAAGTGACACCACTTCATTCTCGTACTATTAAGGGGGTGTTCTCGTCCTTATTCTACACACCAAATTTGAGAGTTCTCTACTTTCTCTCTTAACTTCGTTTTCAAGAGCCTTGTTCTTAGTAACTTAGATACTTTTTGTTCTAACTTGGTGATAGATATGTGAGCATTCTTAGTTCGCATAAAACAGTGACGAGGTATTAGTCACTTGCTTTCAATCTTTATATCCTGAGAGACAAACACCATCAATCTTCTTGCACCACACTAGAGGGCGAATCTGTTTTTAAAAAAATTGTGTACAAAACAGGCCTCGGTTACTTCCAATACCATTACTACATCAACAACTAGATTTTCTCTCTTTTATTATTACTTTATTTATTGTAATGTTATTTTTCGTTATTTTATAATTCCAGCAGTATTTTTAATTTCATTTTGTATTTTTCCTAGCAATTGTTTGGGGGTTTCTGGTTATAAGATGGAGATCGATTTAATGTCGATTAATCGGTGTTCCAAGGAGCACCAGAAGAAAGTAGGGTAGAGTAGGGTGAGGTGTTTGAAGAAGATGAAGATTTGGGTGAGCGAGGGGTGGGGGTGGCAGATTTTATTTTATTTAAGTTTGTTAATTTAATTGTTAATATTTGAGAAATGTACATTTCCCACTTTACCCATTTAAAATTGGTTAGTTTTTTTTCTTTTTTTGTCAACCGATGGTCAATTGGATGAAAATTGTCTGTTTGTCCTTGTGTTAAAACTAAATGAAATGTTTGGGGACTATGGTGGAACAAACTAAAGGTTCCGGTAAACGCTGCAATAAAAAGAAAGATTTGAGATTTTCTACCTTTAATTTTTGTTCTTGTATATATTTATATTTTGTGTGTATAAATTTGTGATTGTAAACGATTTAGTTTAGGCGTGACTAGTACAAGTTTAGGTTGGTCGATCAACGCCCATCCTCGTCTTCTCTTCCGTGAAGTGAATAATCCCTAAAATGGCATGCGATCCCTGTAGAAAAGCAAGTATTTTCCAATTTGTTCGATGGATTGATTTTTCAGAGATATTACGCATTCCCAAGGGTTAGACGACTCATTCACATCCATATCATGATTATTTGAAATCCAAATTAAAGCGAGAAATGAATATTTCACTAGATATAATAACTAAATGAGTGGAGTATCAAAACATTTTGTTGATAACAATGTTTTGTTTATTGTTTGTACTGCAAAATGCGCATTCTAGATGATAACTGACAAGTAATTTTATACCAATATTATCTTCTTAATTATTTTTCATTTCTTGAGGAGCTTGAGATATTTTACAAGAAAATTTTATAGAATTGATTTGTCAAAGTTTAAATTTTTCAAAGCTAAATAATATTTATATTGAAAAATGCTGTTTGGAGAAGAGCAAGAAAAATTATAAGTAAATACAAGATGCAAACTACGTCATCAAGGGGTCCATAGCTCAGTGGTAGAGCATTTGACTGCAGATCAAGAGGTCACCGGTTCGAACCCGGTTGGGCCCTTTTATTTTTATTTTTCTTTTGAAATTTCTGTTTTCAGTTTTTACTGCTGCCTGGAATTTAATTGGAGACGCGATTCTTTGGCTCTTGGCATTGAAATCTCAAGCGGTATGATTTTATTTTTTTTATTTTTATTTTTTTTTCATTTTGAAAATAAAAACACTACTGCATATTGAGGAAAAAAGTTGAAAAAAAAACTATTTTCTTGAAATTCATGGTTCATGAGCTCGATTACTGGAAATTGAGGAGATGGTCGATTTAATTTCAATACTTCAATTAGTTATTTTATCTTTGAAAAAAATTCAATAAAATTCAGAAATTTGAGAAATCTGTGGTCGAAAAATGAAGCATTTGTGGCATTTAAGAAGAAAAGGGTTGAAAAGAGGTGCAAAAAGGTGTGTGGCAGCTTAGATTTGGTTGATTGTGCACATGTGACTGGATTGATCGAGTCTTAAATAAAAAAGTAAACAATTGTTTGATTCCTGCTTTCAAATTTTATTTTGTTTTCTAAATAATAATTTTTTTTTTATAAATACCAACTATCCTTTTTTCAATTTTACAATACTCTAAGGTCATGTTTGATAGGCATTATTTGCCTTGGAAGTGGGAAAAAAAANTTACTTTTGGTAATGGAAACAAATTTTATAACCAATTGTGGAAAAAATTATCACTTTAATGGACAATTTCCATGTAAAATAAAGACAAACGTGAACAAAAAAAAATCCCAAATTTCAAAAAATTTCATGGTGAAAAATTATACCAATCAAACACATTTGAAATCATTTTCCCTACAAAACATTTTTTAGGCAAATCTTTTCCCAATAAAACATTTTCTTGCTACCCATTTTCCACCCTTCCAATCAAATGCAGCCTTAGTTTCGGAGTTCGGACCTCTCACAACCTCAAAATGAATGGCCTTTGGAGCACTGAAGAGGAAATGAGTAAAATTTATTGTCCGTGAATTGTCGATATTCGATTAACTCATCATTTGGTTTTCTATTTTCATTTTTTCAAATAATATTATTTTTTTCATAAATATAGTGGTTAGGAGTTGAGAGTCCGTTGAGCCTTGTTTTTCTGTGATCGATCTATCTTCTTTCCATAGCAAGCTCCATTCGTTCATTCACTCCTTGGATGACTCTCGATTCTTGAGTGTGTTGGGGGATGAGGCCGCAATTGAACAAGTTGATGAAATGACCATATATTGGCATGGCAATGGTTAAAAGTGAATGGATCGGGCATGTGATATTCACATGCTTCGCCTTTAGATGTGATTCAAAGAGATCATGTTGTATCTTCTAGTGACGTTACGAGTACTTATTATTACAAAAAAAAAAAAAAAACAACATTTATTAACAAAATAGAACTATTGATAGTAAAGTCCCAGGATGTTATAGATGTCCAAAGCGAATATGACTTCTTCTGCTCTAAAGCTGGAAAATAGTTGTTCTCAAAGGAAAGATAATTATTTGATTCGAAGAAGTTCTTACAAGTTGAATTAGATGTGAAATATGCAATTGTTCTTTCTTGCAAGTTTTTTTTTTCTAATAAACAATTATGAGGGATTATTACTCTTATCATTTCTATAATTTTTATTGTCATTACTCTTTTTGGTCACTTTCAAATGCTTTCGCAAGCTATAGAAAATCTAAAATTATGTTGAAATTCATTCATAAAATTAATAGAAAGTTTTAAATAATCAAAAAAATATATTGCAATATTTTTTCGCATTGGCTGAATGCTAACATATTTGATCCTCTCATAGAATTAATTGGAGATTTAGATTTTTTCTAAAAAAATTTTACTTTCGATTTTCGAGTACCTAAACTAAACATGTACAAAAATTTATAAATAGAATTATAAAATTATTTAGTTAAATATGGTAATAGCAATGTTTTGTTTTTCTTAGAACAACTTCTAACGGTAAAATTCCAATGTCCTCCACATAACCAATAGGTCATGTTTGTTATGCAATACTAAATATGACTGAACAATATAATAGACATAATATTATTTGATGTTATTGAATCCTTCGTACCAAACATGTCAATAAGACCCTTCCACTTACAATGTAAAGCTTGGAGTAGTCATTACAATTCAATAATTCTTCGTTCAAGATGATCCCTTGAATTTCACCTCATCTTCCTACTATAATGCATACTCATTCCATGAATTGTACTACTTTTGCATTTCAATGTATTATATACTTATTGAAACTATCTGGGGTTATTTTGTAAATCCACCATTAGCTCGACGATCCCATCTTCTGATATGTCAAAAGCGGGATATACCGAGTGAAGTAATCCTAGAGAGAATATATTGCTAGTATTTTAAAAGAAAACCGTATATAATGGAGAATGAAGCCATTCTCATGTAGTGGGGAGTGATACGTGAAATATCAATGTAAGGAGAAGAGTACGAAGTATAATAGCTATATTGTGAATTCACATTTATTCTGAAATAACACGTCAGATGGTAAAATACCGGAGTTGGGCTGAGGGTGCGATCTAGAATAACCAGGTTATTCCATTGCTTGAACCTGCTTCATTCAACCATGTTTGATGGACATGAAGCCAAGTGAGCCCTTTTGCAACAGTCACATCCTGGAAGCTTTAAAATTTGTGTACAATGGTCGTAAGATCTCATTTGAAGGAAGAAAATTCGGCTCTACAAATAGAAACTTTACTTTTGAACTTAATACAGCAGTCGTCAGACAACCCTTTCGTTCTTCACCTGCACGAGACAGTCAGCTGTCAGCACGAGCAGAAAAAGATGCATCTTTTATGCTTGAATTACTTTGACAATCCAGAAGAAGAACCTTATTTTCACAAGTTGGTGTTCCTCAAGAAACAAGGCATTAATTATCTAATTATAACTATAGTTTGTGGAGCCACATATGCTACGAGAACATTATACACTCTAGACAAGTATGGTGCATTATTTCAGTTGACATCTTGTGAGTTAAAGCATCTAAGGTTTTCAGTTCTATTATAATTAGAGGGTTACCATTCTGCCGCTTCTCAACAAAAGTTCCACTATGAGACAGCACACATTTAAAATAAGCTAGAGAAAAAAAAAACATCAACCTTTTTTACCAAATTCAAACTGGATGGTAGCATAAAAATATGATATAACTAGGGCGTGTTATGTATCAGAACAATATAAAAAATGCAGCAACTATACTACATAGGACTAAAAAATGATAACAAGTTGAATAAGTAGGTGAATACGTGATTTCCAAACTAAAACGGACAAATATCGTATAACTGCAGAACGGATGGAACCAAGTAGGATTAACAAGAATAGGTAGTTAGTTTCCATTAAGTGACTTCTCGCCTTCGAAGCATAAGCACGAGCAGAATCTAAAAGTTCAGTACTATGGATAATGTTAAATATATACGTCAAACTCTGAAACTAAAACATGAATGTAATGATATACTATTCTGTTAAATCATGCACCATGTTGAAGTTCCCACAAAATGAGCGCTTTTATCATAATATCGAATCTGAATAGGGAATGTAAGGTGACCCCATTGAACACCTTAAGTGTTGCTATAGGTGGGTATTCAACATTGCCTATAGGATTTAATATAAATAAAGAGCTTTAATTTTTCAGGAAAAATGAACATAATGTTGACCAAAACAGGGAGAGAGGCTCACCATATTGCTCCCACTTCTTGAAATTCACTAGCCAAGAGTCCGAACCAATCTGTGAAAATAAAACCTGATCCACCCAAACCCGAAATTGTTTTCCCTGCTTGTCCCCGTAACATTGTCTCAATGAGTTTATGCAGTCATGAAGAGATTGCTCGATGCCAGATGGGTGGACAAGAACGCCAGATTGACACTGAAAGTGCAAAATAGTGATAAAAAATGCTCAACAAGGGATTTGAATAAATTAATACAAAAATCAGCTCAATCTCATGCTAAAATGGAGGCAAGATGGTAAAATATGTGGAGAAAGATTCCTAATGGATTCTGCGATTAATTAGATTTTCAAAAATTATTTCAAGTTTATGAAGAATACATCTATTATACTTGGAATCCTACGGTAATTGAACTCATAAGGTTTTCATCAAGTAGTATGAATTACCATCATTTAGACCAAGGGAATAAAACCTTAATGGGAGTTCTGCCCAAGCCTGAACCCAGTCTTGCAGCAAACAGATAGCACTTCCTTTTGATATTTTTCTCTCAACCAGGACAGTTTCTGAATTTGGGTTCAAGAGATGGAAAACAAGAATCTAGAAGCAAAATGTTCATGCATTCAGTTGATCACATAAAACTATAGTTCCCAGTGACCAACTGAAGGGAAGGCCTAATTGTACCACTCCAAAAATGATGTGTCTTTCTCGCACATCAAATCATGTCTTTTCTTGGGTAAGGTAACCCCAAAAATGTCATGACAACATTGACCAGCACTTTCTTGTTGTCTTGATTATCCTTGCTTCCATTGGTGCATTTAATTATAACAATGAGGTGGTAAAACAGATTAAAAAGAACTCTTTTATGTGTCCATCTTGTACAAACCTATTTGCTCAGTCAAGCTGGTCAAGGTGTAGCAACTAAACTTTTTTTTTTTTTGCAGCCTATTATGAACAAACAATACAAGAGTTAAATACCTCAAACCTACAAAAATAAAATGTGAGTCATTTTAATTTCCTGATTTGAATTTCAACTCTCCATAAAACAGATTCAATAAAACAGATATGACAAAAACATTTACTAAGTGTGCACAAAAGTAGAAGCTGCAGAAGTTAAAAAGAAATCAAACATACACAAACTGCCTTCAGATTAGCTAAATAAAGCTCAGAATTCTCAACTTCTGCACGTCTCCATCTCTCATAAAACAAGTAAAATTTCACAACTTCATAAGCAGGATCGAATTTCTCCATCTTAGAGTTGGACAAATCCGTGACATCTCTAGGAGATGTACTGGGACCCAGGTTAAAGTGACCAATGGCTTGTATAATACCAGCAGCACATCTCTCTGTTGCATGAATTATTTTTGGATTATCTTTTGCATTTGCAGCATGCCACTGTAACAATTCTTCCTGGGCATTGCTGACCTGCAAATGTGAAGCACGTTCACACAGCACTTGTCAACAGAAGATCGAAGAAATCTTTATAAACTTGTTATGAAAAATTAGTGAAATACCAACCATGACACCGTGTACATCTGGAATGCTAAATAGTTCGGCATCATTTCCAGAGTCGCCACAAACAAGTGTATTATTAGGCAATTTACCCTCAGCCTTGAATTGTTTTAGCAGATAAGCAAGCGCTTGCCCTTTGCCAGCACCTCGTGGCAGGATATCCAAGTCCATTCCTCCGCTGTAGATTATTTTGACATCCAACTAACAATCACAAAGCAAAAGGTCAGAGTGCTGTTTGCAAAGACTATAAGTATAATCAAGAAGATGAAAGCTTTGCATTCATCTCCACTAGCCATAAAGTAACTGGGTTTTATGCAAATATATCACTGTTGATCTTGTCACGTTCTACTACAGAAAGAAAGTTTCATCATACCCCGCGTTCTTCCAAACGTGTAGAAAGAGCTTTCATTATGTCCATTGCCTTGTCTTTCTTAATGTAGAAGCTCACTTTGTGTGGTCGTTGCTCTGTATCTGACTGCATGACTCCAAAAGGTCAACATAATACAGATAGTTCCCATGCAAAAGTATTTTTATCTTGATGCGCATAAAAGCACTTTCAAGATCATCTTAAGTAGTGATGCATGAAATTTGGTGTACTGAACATGCGTCTACAAGTTTAATGCATTGAAAAGATGTTAATCATATGTATGTATCGACAACCAGACACCATTTTCTATAACAATACCTGAAGAGTAAGTTCAGAAATTTTTTTCGTCTCCTCCGAAACTACATTCCTGTCCCATTTCTGATTTAAAATTTCAACCCAACCATCATCTGGTACCATAGAGTTGCCGTATGTTATTTCAGTTCCCACAGACATTATTGTGATATCTGGGATTAACAAGGGCTTCTCTTTCCTTAACTCCTTGTACAATGTAGGTGACCTTCCAGTGGAGAATACTAACAAGGAATTATTACGATAATTGGACTCCCACAAAGCGTTAAACCTGAGTAGAGAGAGGTTATCGGGATCATGATGGTCAACCTACAACAAAGAGTTTCATATTAGTCCAATCCAATTCGAGTGACTAGGAAAAACAATAAGAACTAACCATTGTATAATCAAGATCTGAGACTATCATAAGACGCGCAACACCAGCAAGCCGGTTCATGGTTGTCTTAAAACTAGTTTCACTCTGCAATTAAAATTGACTGTGTAAGCAAAAAGTTAATAAGACCAAAGAATCCAGTACTCTCACTTCTACTAATTGGACTACACAAACTAAGGGTAAGTTTTATCAATCACAAACTAAGAGTAAGAACAGAGGGGGTTATGGCGCATTAGTTTGATTTTTAAGCAAAAAGGAATAAGTCTCATGAAGTGATTTACGTTATTGTAAATGATGCCCAGAAGAATGACAGCTCGATAGGTTATGTGACAAAGAAGTAAAAGGTATATGGATGTGAACACGACTTTGCTGTCCACAGCTAATACAGATTAGCGCGTAGTATATCTTGTATAGCTACAATTTTCAAATGAGATAATAGCATAAAATATTGAACATCAAAATGTCAGGAAATAATAGTTGTTTGTGATTAGGTCCCGCAAAAGGCATCTTCAAAACAAATAAAAGTCTTAACATGTGTCAGCTCAATAGTCACCAGCTACCACTACCAGATTTAATATAGAACATAGATACTAATCAACCACAAAATAAAGCAGCAAAGAAATATTTTCTTTGCTTGGAATCACGGCTATAGCAGAAGATCAACTGGCAAGTGAACTTATATGAAGACTGGATGGTGCTAAATCAAGGGTCTAAACAGATATTATAGTCAATTAATTTATATAGTGGTTCCTCTCATCCAAATCCCATTAGATTTGTCCCAAAAACACGGTATCATCTCAATCATGTTCTACAAACAGCTAAAAATGCCAGAAACAAAAAATTTCATCTTTATTTTAGTTATCAATTCGTAAACAACTAATCAAGCAAATTCATATGCTAAACCAATAGATTATTTGAGAAGAGAGAGAGGTGCCATTACCAAGGAAATGAAATAACAGAAAGGGCAAGCTTCAACTTCTATCACACAACTGATAGTAAATGGAGAACAAAATTAAAAACCCATAACAATTCGATTGCATTCATTCCAAATTCCTCTGATTCCAGACAACCAAACGCAACCCACGAAAAGAATTCAATTTTATTCCAATAAAAAAACATGAAATCAAGTTCTCCCAATCTAAAGATTCGATCCCACATGCATACACGTGTCCAGCCCACAAAACGACTATAGTATATGCATACATGTATGTATATGTAGAGAGAGGGAGACAGGGCTTTCGTACCAGCCTAGTAGAGAGAGAGGTGGGGTGGTGGGGATGATTGTTGATGCAGGAACAAGTGAGGGAGGAATATGAAGAAATAGGAATAACGGCACCAAACCGTAACATTGAACGTATATTTGGAATATATGCCTTTCAATTTTGTTGAGTTGATAAAACTGAAATTATTGGGAATTGGGCATTGGATCCAATTTCCTTGGCGCTTCTTCACCGTGCTGTAAATCTCTGTATAAGGTCGGAATTCAATTCGATGTAACTACTTGTAGTAGATAAGATATTAGAAAGCAAGTGAAATGACATTTTTCTTTGTATTATCTATGCAGTAAAAAGGGCTTAAGTGGAACTCCACGTTCCCATTGGGAGTAACCCAGCTAGTAAATCTTGTTCGATCGTAAAGCTTTTCAAACTTTTTTTTTTACCTACTCAAAGTGTGTTTGATATACATTAAAATGGAAAGAATGCATTTTTTATTGTAATGGTAAATTTGTGGTTGAAAAAGAAGGAAAAATTATTGATGTAATGAAAAATATTATTTTATTGAAGTATGAGTAGAAGAATGAAAATGAAAATGAGAATGTGGTTCAAACAGAGACTTATTTTTAATCAAACATTCACACAATAAAATATTCTGCATGTAACCTAAAATTTTTTCCAACTTTTTAACCCTGCATTCTCATGCAAAATTATTGTCCAAAACTCTATTTTTCAAAAGTATAGTTGTTAAACGGGGGCTAGGACAAATGACTCTTTAAATACTAAGTGAAATAGAGCAATTTTTACATATTTCTATATATAATGTTAGTGGTACATCAAAAGATGTACTTAAGGGGTTACACCCCCTCGCATGAGGTGGAACCCACTTGCATAAAATATTTCGTTATTTAAGTGGGTCATACCCCCATGTGAAGGGGTGTAACCCCTTAGGTACACCTCTATGTACCACTAGCAAAACTCTATTTCTATTGGCCGGATGAAATATATCCTACCGGTTCAACTTTTGTACAAGAAGCATAAATTGCTTACCTACAAATAAGATGTGGCATATTAAGTAATTTGTGATATTTCATGGTTGGCAAAATTAATCAATAATATCTTGAGCCAAAAGATATATATATTATCTGCTTATAAGCCTAAATTACATGTTCAAGATTATATAATTATCAAGGTATTATAATCACAATTTATATTATGACAATGTCAAAAGCAATGTTTGAGTTGTAATAACTTCAAGCTAAAATGGTCACTCAAAATGGCTGGAAAAGATAAAAAAAAATAATTGGAAAAGAATATATAGAATTATAACCCAATTTTCAAGACTAAGAACAAACCAATTACCAAACAAAAGATACAAAATGAACGCACTAAAAGGGACAGGAAAACTCACTATACATATCTAGATCCTCACTAATCTTTTCTTTACAATCGAAAAGCACTCACATTTTGTTTTCCTGGTAATACGTAGTACTGGACAAGATATTTTCTGTGATGATCCAGCTTAAGAGCATTTCTTAGCCTCATCCTTCAGCTTTTTGACAATCCTTTTATTCCAAAATCAATATCTTGCATCATTGCCACAAATTCACTGTAATCAATTCGACCAGCCTGGAGAGGGAAAAAAGTTTGAGATAGAATTTTTCTTCTACATTTCTAGTGATTTTATCCATAAAGATCTATGCAAATAAGTTCAAATGTGCCAAGAGGAAAAGAAAGATGGAGAATATACGTTATCTTGATCGACTTCGCGGATGATTTCTTCTAGTTAAACATCTCCAACACCAAATTTCTCGCAAGCTTTTTGAAGCTCATCATGGGTGATGTATCCACTCCCATCTTGGTCGAAATATGAAAAGGCTGCGAACATGTGATCCTCTTTCTGAACTTTGTTTAGGTGGAGCATTTCTGCTACAAACTCCTTGTAATCTATGGTTCCACTGTTATCAACGTCAGCCTGCATTATCAAAAAAGATTCTAAAAGAAAAATGAGATTCTTAACAAGTATGAAGAAGATCTAATTGTTGGGAAAAATCATCCCGAACGCAGGAATTGAGATTAATGACAAATTGAAATTATAAAGATCACAAGAAAAAGAACAAGATTAAAGTAAAGAAAATAGAGGAGAAA